ATATAGTATTCTTGGCTGCATATTTTTCTCATTTAGTGCTCTGAATATATCTTGCCAGTCCTTTCTGGCCTGCCAGGTCTCTGTGGATAGGTCTGTTGACAATCTAATGTTTCTACCATTGTAGGTTACAGATCTCTTCTCCCGAGCTGCTTTCAGGATTTTCTCTTTGTCTCTGAGACTCGTTAAGTTTTACTGTTAGGTGTTGGGTGTTGACCTATTTTTATTGATTGTGAGGGGGGTGTTCTCTGTGCTTTCTGGATTTTGATGCCTGTTTCCTTCCCCAAATTAGGGAAGGTCTCCACTATACTAGGATAGAAGTCTAAATCTTTGATTTTCATGTGGATAAATTAATGTCTTTTTCTTTGTTTTGTTTGTGGCATCTAAGGTCTAAAGGCTTTCTATTTATTTTAATCTTAAGAAGAATCTTTAAAGTAGTCTTGGTGTATGGATATACATAATCTCTTTGTTTTTCTTCCTTTTTGGTAATGGCTAACCTCTCCTTAAATTTTATAAGACTTTGTTAAATATGTTATAACTTGGATTTTTGCAAGAAAAATTGTTGTACCATTTTATATTCCAGCCAGTAAAGTAGGGGTATTCCCATCCATTAATTCTCACCTGTATTGAGTGTGATCACTTAAAAAATGTTTTAATTTTTTTATACCAGAAATGATATTTCATTGTTACTTTGCTTCCTTTTTAAAAGTCATTAAGATTGTTGGATGAAGAAGAAGCAACTGACAATGATTTAAGAGCAAAATTCAAGGAACGCTGGCAAAGGACACCATCTAATGAACTCTATAAGCCTTTAAGAGCAGGTAAAAATGTGTATAAATGGCTTTCATTTGAATAAATTACCAATTTTTTTTTTTAAGATTTTATTTTTAAGTAATCTTTATACTGAACTCACAATCGTGAGATCATAAGTTGCATGCTCCACTGACTGAGTCATCCAGGTGCCCATATAAATTCCCAATTTGGATCCACATTTTTGCTTGATTAAATTAGGGTCAGTTGTAAACCTGTTTTTATTGAAACTGCTATTGTGAAAACATAGGTGTTTTTCCTCAGTTCAGTGTAAGATAAAAAATAACAGAGGTAATTCATGTTCATTATAAGAAGTTCAGACTCTTTAAGAACTCTGAAAAATTGTTTTATTAAAAGGATTTAGCTCATGGTAGGGGTGTGTATGCAGAGGGAGAAGGAGAGAATCTCACGCAGACTCCTGATGAGCACAGAGCCTGACCTGGGGCTCGATCTCATGACCCTGAGATCATGACCTGATCTGATATCAAGAGTCGGACATCCAACTGGCTGAGCCACCCAAGTGCCCCCAAAATTCTTACAAATAATAAAGTAAAGGGGCGCCTGGGTGGCTCAGTTGGTTAAGCGACTGCCTTCGGCTCAGGTCATGATCTCAGGGTCCTGGGATCAAGCCCCACATCGGGCTCCATGCTTGGCGGGAAGCCTGCTTCTCTCTTTCCCACTCCCCCTGCTTGTGTTCCTCTCTTGCTGTCTCTCTGTCAAATAAATAAATAAAATCTTTTAAAAAAATAATAAAGTAAAAATGAAAATGATTCTGTAACTCTCTTTTCCTAGTCCAAGTCTTTTTTTTTAGAGCATCTCTATAACCACTAGGTATCACGGGTTCCAGGAACTGCTATTAAGCTGTATGCATAAATAAATGAGATCAGTTTTTTTAAAGATTTTATTTATTTATTTGAGAGAGAGAAAGAGAGAATGTGCAAGCTGGGGAAGGGTAGAGAGAATCTCAAGAAGATTCCCCACTGAACGTGGTGTGTGATATAGGGCTTGATCTCACGACCTTGAGATCGTAACCTGAGCTGAAACCAAGAGTTGGACACTCAACTGACTGAGCCACTCAGGCACCCCTAAATGAGATCATATTATATATATAAATATGGTTTTGTAATTTCATTTCACTTAGTAGGGGATGGTAAAAGGTGAGTTTTCCAGTTAAATTGAAGTCAAATTATTATTTTTTAAGACTTTAATTATTAAGATTTGTGTTTGCTAAAATAAGTGTCTTTATGGTAGAGACTTTATTATTTATTTATTATTATATAATTAATACTATTGACATTTTTTCTAAAAATGTATCTGTTCTTTTAAGTCAAGTTGAAGCAGTGATCCTTTGAGAAGGGAATACTTTTTAAGTAAGTTGTAATAATTTTTGGAGTGAATGATTTCTTTCTATATTAATGAATTGTAGGAAATGATTAGACTAATGTCAATTAGCTTTTATTTGGTGGATAGTAACCACAAATGTATTTTAAGGTATACCTGTGCTTTGCCAGAAACAAAAATGCCAAGAGTGACAGGAGCTCAATTTCTGTTATATAATGAATCAGGGCCCATAGAAGAGGGGAAAAAAGTAGAGTTGGAGAGCAGAACTAAAAGTATAACCAGCTGTTAAAGTCATTGCTGTACTCTGGTAACATTTTTTTCCCCCACAGAGGGAACCAACTTCAGAGCAGTTTTGGATAAAGCTGTGCAAGCAGATGGGCAAGTGAAAGAGCGTTATCAGTCTCACCGTGACACCATTGCACTTCTGTGTAAGCCGGAGCCTGAGCTGAATGCTGCCATCCCTTCTGCTAACCCAGCGAAGACCATGCAGGGCAGTGAGGTAAGCAGATGCATTTTGATGTGGGTGGTCATCTGCTTATGAAAACTATGTTCAAGCCATTATGAACACAGTTAATTGCCAATTTCTTACTGCCATTTTTTCAAAAATGCAGACGTAAATTGAGGTTGTTACGTTTGAAGTAGCATGGTATATACACTGTGTAATAGGTAATTACATTAATTAAAATATTACTATCTTGTAATAATAATTTCTATTTATTGAATGTTTCCTGAGCTTGGTACTATATTCTAGATACTTAATAAGTTCAGTATTTAATTCAGGCTTTATAAAAGGGAGAGGCTTGGAAGCTTAGAAACTTCCCTGAAGTGGAAGGACTGGATTTGACCAGATGCTCTTCTGACCGTAAATTCTTTGTTGTTTGTTACATCATTCTCTACCACCATCTACTGTATTCCACTGGAACTATCTCTAAAGGGAAAATCAACCAGCTGTGCATGTTAATAAGTGGGTAATGTCATTATAGCATTTCTATTTGTGATAGGAAGGGGAAAATCAGTAGTGGGGCATGTGAGTCAGAAAGTCCAAAGGTACTTATGCACAAACAATGAATCATGGAACACTGCATCAAAAACTAATGATGTAATGTATGGTGGTTAACAATAAAAAAATTATTAAAAAAAAGAAAGTCCAAAGGTGCAAATACGCTTTAGTGGCTGATCACTGTAGTAGATTATGAATAAGAGATCCTGAATGAAGTGCACAGGGAAATAAGCCAAAGGGCAAGCTATGTTTGCTGAAAACTTCTTGAAAAAGGTGAATTTCTTGGGGTAGTAGGTCTCAGAAGTTATCAGTGTTGTGTCTTGTCTTTCTATAGAAACATTTCATATATTTATTCAACCAAGACTTTGGATACCTACTCTGTAAGGCATTATGCTAGGTACTTTGAAAAATCAACAAATGAACCATACATAGCCTTTACCCTCAATTTATGGTCCAGTGTGGAAGATTAGACCTATACAAGGAGAACTGTAATACAGGGTAGACAAGTGTTGTGACTATAGAGAGTAGGCTGTGAGGATTTAGATGACGAAGCACTTCAATTCCAGTATTTTGGAGCTTCTCTCTTAAGAGGCTTCTTAAGAGATTGGCACAAGATGAGAACAGAGTAGACAGGCAAAGTGAACACATACAAAATCTGAGTAGGATCGAGTGAGCTACCAGAGGTTCAGTGGAAAAGAGCCCCCGCAGTGAAGACTGCATAGTTGAATGGGCACAGAACCCAAATCTCTAAAGGTAGGGGGAACCTGATGGAACAAAGAATATCAGTTAGATGCTTTAAAGAAATGGGGGGAAGGGAGAAGGAAGGTGGTTAGATTAATTTGTGAGGAACAGAGACTGCAGACCCACAGAACAGCAACAGTCTGGCCCTTTTTTATCTTAGGATAAAGAAAATCCCTGCTTAGTATCCTCTTCCCTCTCTCATTTTTAGAAAAGTAGTCTCGGGGCGCCTGGGTGGCTTAGTCGTTGAGCGTCTGCCTTCGGCTCAGGTCATGATCCCAGGGTCCTGGGATCGAGCCCCGCATCGGGCTCCCTGCTGGGCGGGAAGCCTCCTTCTCCCTCTCTCACCTCCCCCTGCTTGTGTTCCCTCTCTCGCTGTCTGTCTCTGTGAAATAAATAAATAAAATCTTTAAAAAAAAAAAATAAAAATGTAATCTCAAAAAAAAAAAAAGTAGTCTCTATACACAACATGGGGCTTGAACTTACAACCCCTAGACAAGAGTCGCATGCTCTACTGATTAAGCTAGCCAGTCACCCCCCTCTCCTTTTTCTTTTTGGCGTCTTGTACGTGACTCAGAACTTATATGCCTTTTGTCCTTTGATTCTTCTGCTTTCAGTAGAAAAGCAAAAATGGTTTCTGCTGAGCAAAATCAGAATTAGTATGCACTACTTTGTTACTTCATACAGTTGTAGTCCCAGCTGCTTTTGTTAATTTATAATGGTATTACATAGGGGGAGAAAACATTTATAGTCAATATCAAGTAATTTTACTGAAGCTAGATTTTCTAGATAGAAGCAACCAAAAAGTTTTCAGTGCTCTATATATTCATTCATCATGTGCCTTTACCAAAAGACTAATTAATATCATATGTTTATTAAAGCTGTTTCAGGTAATTGTCATAGTTGTTGATGACACATTTTAGCCAGAGTTTTTTTTTTATGATAAAAGCATAGTCATTTGAATTCTGATTATTAAAGTGAATACAAAGTACATGTTTTATTAAGAAGTCCGATCTTAATGGTAGGGCTCTTTTTTTTTTAAATTGTGAAGGGGCCTACTATTTATCTTTGGTCTCTTTGGGAATCTGTTTTTACATATTGAGATACTCTGAAAAATGTTCAAGTATGGATAATTTGTATTTAAAGATCCTTTTTTAAATACTTAGGACCATTGCTTGTGATTGTACGCCTCTCATCAGCAGGGGTATGGAATCTAGTCTACACTTGGCCAGACAAGCCTTGGCCCTAGTGTAGGGCTGAGTCTGCCCAGAGGAAGGGGCATCTTTTTTTTTTTTTTTCTGTACAAAAGTGATATCCATTTATACTCATAGTATTGCATCTGTCTGGGGTAATGAAGGTGGGGGGGGGTCCCTCTGGAAAAAAGTCTCCATCTCCTCAGAGATAGTGCATAACATAGTACTGTCCAAAACTGTGTGCCTTTTTAGGCCTTGCTTTTTTCTGGTTCACACAAAGTCATCTTCTAGACTAGTGGGTGATCTGCAGATGCAGCTTTTACTCTTTTTCATAACAGGAAGTGTCTAGACAGGAGTCAAGGTTGACTGGCATCTCTTCATTCATTTGTTCACCAAACATTTGTTGAAGGCCTGCTGTATGCCAGGAACTATGGCACCATGGTCCCTAACAGAGAGAGGTGGAAAACTCTAGGTTAGCTTTAGTGTAGGGTAAGTGTGGTCAGGTTCCCACTGTTCTGTTGTTGAGATACTCTCATGTCTGCCTTTTCTGAAACTAAAATGGCAGGGACTGAAAAGTAAAGCTGAAAATCTCATTGAGAGTATTTGTTCTGTGCCTAATTGTGTTCGGTGCTGTTAGATGCTACAGAGAGCTTTATCATCTAAATGGGGCTGCCAAATGATGGCCTGTGGGCTAAATCCAGCCTGCCTCCTGTTTTTTGTATGGCCTATGAGCCAAGAATGCCTTTTACATTTTTAAATGGTTGAAAAAAGTCAAAATAATAATGTTTTATGACATGTGAACGTTATATGAAATTCAGATTTTAGTATCCATAAATAAACTTTTGTTGGAGCATAGTTACACTCCTTTACATTTCGTCTACGGCTGCTTTCACACTAGAAAGGCAGAGTTGAATAGTTGCAACAGAGACTGGCTTACAAAGCCAAAAATATTTTCTGTCTGTTGTTTTTTCTTTCCCCTTCTGTTTGGTTCTTTACAGGAAAAGTTTGTGGCTCTTGGTCTTAAAGGTGAAGTACAGAAAACCGAGGTGATCTCATTCCTGCCTTTCTGTTTTACCTCATCTCCCTCCCTTCTGTCTTTTTTTACTGTGTTTCTGCCATACTAGCCACCCCCCCTTTTTTTTCCCTTTTCGCTTTGAACATGCGAAGCTTGTTCCTGCCTTAGGACTTTAACATTTGCTTTCCTTCTGTTGGGGTCTTTCTTCCAAGGCTACTGCTTCTTTTTTCATTAAAGCCCCAGATGTCACCCTTTCCCTTTCTTTGTCATTGGCTACTGTATTGCTCTGTTTTTTGTGTGTGTTTAATTCTTCCCTCCTTTCCCCTGTCCCCCACATGAAGGACTCTGCTTCTGTTAATAGTTGTATTTTGGAGCTAGAGCAGTACCCAGCATGTAAGGATTCAAAAAGTGTTGATGGAATGATAACTACTGGCAGCCTGACTTACTAAAGGGATGCAGTTAATTGCAGTTGAAAGCTAATTGGAGCTGTTTTTAAAACATAGAAATAAACACCACAGGATTCTAATTATTATTTTTAAAATTTTTTAATTGAGGTATAATTGACATACAACATTTTATTAGTTTCAGGTGCAACATAATGATTCAGTATTTGTATATATTGTGAAATCACAATAAATCTAATTAATATCAGTTATCACACATAGTTACAGAATTTGTTTTCTTGTGATGAGAACTTTTAAGATTTTACTCTCTTAGCGACTTTCAAATATGCATTGTATTATTATTATTATTTTTTAGAGGATTTTATTTATTTGAGAGAGAGAGAGGGAGCACAAGCGGGGGCAGGGGGAGGGGCAGAGGGAGAGGGAGAAGCAGACTCCCTGTTGGGCAGCGAGCCTGACAATGGGGCTTGATCCCAGGACCCTGGGATCATGACCTGAGCTGGAGGCAGACACTTAACCTAAACTGCCCAGGCGCCCCACAGTATAGTACTATTAAGTATAATTACCATGCTGTACATTATATCGTCATGACTTAATGTATTTAATTAATCGAAGTTTGTACCTTTGGACTACCTTCATCTATTTCACCCACCTGCATCCCCTACCTCAGGCAGCCATCAGTCTGTTCTCTGTATCTGTGAGCTTGGTTTTCTTTTAGATTCCACATATAAATGAGATCATAATAATATTTGTCTTTCTCTGTCTGACTTACTTCATTTAGCATAATGCCCTCAAGGCTCATTCATGTCACAAATGGCAAAACTTCATTCTTTTTTTATAGCTGAATATCCTCTGTGTGTGTGTGTGTGTGCGCGTGTGTGTGTGTACCACATCTTTATTCATTTATCCATTGATGGACATTTAGGTTTCCGTATCTTGACTGTTGTAAATAATGCTGCAGTGAACATGGGGGTGCAGAGGGATTCTAATTATTTCGATACTTTAACTTGATAACACATTAAGCCTCAAACTTGAGTGGATAAGAAACTGTAGGCATTGGCTTACTTTTCTTACTATTTTGGTCATTCATTTGAGGAAGCAGTTTAATTCATTTTCTGCTGTAGTTACTCTGTTAAAATAAGGCCAGTA